AAAAAAAAAAAAAAACTCCAGAATGAATTTTTGGGGGGTTGGGGTCATCTCAGTTGTGCCCTCAAGAGATAAGCTCTGCCAAGTGAGTGATTCACCAGCAAGGGAGAAATCTATTTCTCCTCTCAGAGAATTCCCTGGGAGTTCACTCTAGTTATAGTGCTGGCTCCAAAGTTTGGTCATGTGGAGCAATTCTGTATCTGTAAAGAGTCTCCAGAACATTCCCGAGGCTTGCTGCAGTTTCCATTGCTGGATGCCAGTTGAAATTACAGTGCTGGACTCCTGGTCTGTCACCTGGATCACAGCAATGGATGAGATGCTGCTTGTGGATAATAGCTGAAGAGAAGTTCAGCAATTTCCCTGCAGCAATCAACCCTGGGCTGAAACCCACTGTTTCTGAACTCTGTCCAGGCATTGAGTGTCATGCTTGGTGCTTCTCCTTGGATTCCAAACCATAACTTCTATATTGAGCTAGGTCTCTGATCCTGTAGGGTTTTGGTTTTTGTTTGTTTTAAATTGGGTCTCCTGATCTATGTACTAAAATGCATTTTTTAGTATCTGAATTATATAAATCTGTATTATGTAAACCTTTAATTTAACACAAAAGGAAGTTAAAAGTGATTTACATAGCATATTAGAAATGAATTCAAATCAAACTTCAAGGGTCTTAAGCAACAACATAGAGAAATTCGTTTTCTCAGGATTAAGGTCTCTGAGATAAAGAGGACATAGGTAAAAAGCACAGGGGCTGTTCATCAGTCAGCAGCCAGGCTGCCATCCTGAATTTCTTAGCATCTCACTTCCTTCTAACACATCTTTTTTCTTAGCTCAAACTCAAAGTAATGTTTCCATCGGAACATAAAAGGTGTTTATTACACTAGGAACTACGCAGTATTTTGATGACTATTGGCTTTCTTGTTAAACCTCTTTCTTCTTTGATCACCAAACTCCTTATTTAACAGAAGTTGATTTATTTTCCCTTCATTTTATCATAACAAACTAGAATTAATATTCTAATTTGGCTCAAAATGTTATATAATTCATACATTGTTATGTAATTCATACATTGACACATAAAAACCATTTTAAATTATGCATCCCTGGTTTCTCATCAGGGCTCTGCAAAGAGTTGACCTGGGCCTGATCTTTTGACCTCCCTCAACCTGTTTGTCTGGTAAAATAAGGGCTGGGTAAAGGCTTCTAAGCTTGCTTTCAGCTCTGAGACTGTGATCACCCAATTTAAGCAGGCTTGGTTCCCTCTGGAAACTACCTGCTCTGTGTGTCCCAGCCCGAGCTGCAACAGTATCCTTACCAGCACAAAAGACACCTGCTCAACAGGCTGGACAGCAAGAACTGCCTGTTTACAAACATCTGGGTTATAGTAACAGCCATCAGTCTTTTTTTTTTTTAAGATTTTATTTATTTATTTAAGAGAGAGAGAGAGAGAACACAAGAGGGAGGAGCGGGAGAGGGAGAAGCAGACTCCCCGCCGAGCAGGGAGCCCGACGCGGGACTCGATCCTGGGACTCCAGGATCATGACCTGAGCCGAAGGTAGTCACTTAACCAACTGAGCCACCCAGGCGCCCAACAGCCATCAGTCTTGTCCTCTGCAATCTACAAGTAAAGAATGAAACAGCAAAACGACAAAAGATGTGCCCTATTTTATAGCATGATGCAACTGAATGAATTGAAAACTGGTTTAGGTTTTGAGATCTGGATTTGCATCCCCCTCTACTGTTGACTTCAGAAAGACAAGGCCCTTCACTTCTGCAGGCTTCAATTTACCAGCCCCTCCATTGATTAATGGGTCGGTAACTCCTGAGCACTTTTCCTTACTTTGTAGAAATAGAAAAATTAGGGGCACCTGGGTGGCTCAGATGGTTAAGCGACTGCCTTCGGTTCAGGTCATAATCTCCAGGTCCTGGGATCTTACATGTTTTGCTACAGATGACTTGGTATTTTTATGAAAATTGTCAACTGTTTTTTGTTATGAATCTAGAAACTGTTACCTTGGCCCAAATTTGGAGGGATTTTGTATTCAGGTGGCACACTTGCATTCATGCATTCATTTGTCCACCTTTCACTGGTCATGTACTGAGTCAAATCCTCCTGAAAACCATTTCTGAGCAAGTGAGTTTTTCAGCCTTTCTCTAATCATGTCTAGTGATCTTGCCAGGGGCAGGGGCTAGGTGGTCATATGAATCCCTTCCAACTTTTCACCTCCACTCAGAAAGTGTCAGCAGTAAGGGGGATTTCTAAGTGCCAAGTAGTAGTTACCTATCTGCCACAAGTAGCAGATAGCAAAATGGAACGCCTTAGTTAGGAAAGTATTTCTTCATCCTCTCAACTGCCTATCTACTGAATTGTTTACATTTCATCATGAAAAAGACATTTATAAAAATCACTGGTCTCCACTCCCCACATCTTGCTTATGGATTAGGCATATTTTAAAATCGTGAGTTCCGGGGGCGCCTGGGTGGCTCAGTCGTTAAGCATCTGCCTTCAGCTCAGGTCATGATCCCAGG